TGTTCAGATGTTTGAAAAGGAATTTGGAAAAGTACGCTTGCAGTCAATTCCATGTGATGGTGGTATACAAACAGAGGATCTCTCTGCAGAACTTCCTTCAGATCAAGCATTTGGATACCGTTCAGTGGTTGGTACATGTTTGTATCTTGCAAGGGATAGACCCGATCTATTGTTTACAGTGAAAGAACTTTCAGGTGCAATGGCAAAACCTACATTCACGGCTTTGCAGAGGCTCAAGAAGCTTGTAGGTTACCTGAAGGGGTCACCCGACTTTTGCGTTTTGCTGGACGTGCCCGTGGGTGGACAAGGACGTTGGCGTTCATCTGACAAGCATTTGATTTTGGAAAGCTTCAGCGACAGTGATTGGAGTTCAAATCAAGTGCACAGGCGGTCCACCAGTTGTGGAATACATTTACTCAACGGTGCATTCCTGTTTGGGTCACCCAGGACACAACGCGTGGTCAGCCTCTCCAGTTGTGAGAGCGAGTTACATGCGATGATCAGCACTTTGAGCGATGGTATGTTTCTGAAGAGGTGCATTGAGTTCATCTTTGATGCTGAGGTGGAACATTGCATGTTTACAGACTCGTCATCAGGACGACAGCTGGCTCAGAGGCAGGGCACAGGAAAGGTCAAGCATTTATCGGGAAAAGTTTTGTGGATTCAAGATGCAGTCAGAAATGGATTGGTGGTTTTGTCACAGATCCCGACAGCTTGGAACGTGGCCGACATAGGAACGAAAGCATTGGGAGTGCAGCGAACTCAGCTCCTTTTGCATCAGTTGAATGTGGCTTCAAGTTCAGATTTCTGTGTAATTGGTATTCCTGAGTATGAATCCCAGTGCCAACGCCATGGAGGTGAGAAGAAGATGAGTCATTTGGTGAAACAGGTCACCAGAATCTTGATGCTCCTGGGCCTTGAGTCAGGTGGTGCCACGGCTTTATCGATTTCAGTGTTGGATGATGATGGTTTCAACGCTGGCGAGAAGTGTTTGATTGAGCCCAATGATCAAGGAGGAGTTTCATTTGCAATGATGATGTTTCTCTTCATGGTGTTTCTGGTGATTTTGGGTGCCTGGTACAGGCTTTACAGGAAAGTGCAAGACGCCCTGAGTTCCTATGACCACTGCTACACACAGATGGCGATCCTTGATTCAGCATACAACAGGGTTCAAGATCTGCATGAGGGTTTGCGTGAACAACATTTCACTGACATCAACATTTTGGACAATCTTGTGGATCGACATGTGCAAGAGATTGGAGCCCTACAGACACAGCTGGAAGCAACAAATGATGCGGTGCGACGCTTGCGTGAGGGCCATCTGGAATTGCAAGGAGAGACAGAGATGCTCTGTGATTCCTGTGAGCAGATCCATCATGGATTGGTCCAAATTGGTGGTTTTACCCCTTTCAATGACCTGAACCCAGATGACAGGCGCCGGATGTACGAGCTGGAAAGGGCCAATCTAGTGGCCAGAAGGGTTATGGGATCAGACAGATACCTCCATTTGATTCGACAACAAAATCAAGGTGTTGCACGTGGCGAGGATACAGATATGGCAGTAGGGTCAGAAGCTGGTGAGAGCGAGACAATGGAGAACGATCCACCAGTTGATCCTCCTCCAGGAGTGCTGACCCAGATCATGGACACTCTTCGGGTGGAGCTCAATGATTGCCTGTATCGCCATGACTATGCCACGGCAGCACAGTTCCAGAATTGCATCATGGCAATTTTGGATGCAACTCATGGAGGCGTTCCGATTGCAGTTGAGGTGCGCTCCAGTCTTTTCAACAGCCTTGGTTCTTCACTGGAATCAATGGCCAATCGAGTTCGAAGAAATGTACCTGCAGTAGCAGCCAGGTATGATGATCTCAGTGGACAGATGCGCAATATGGCACAAAGTTGATGGTGGATGCATGCTTTTCTCAAAGAGAATTTTCTGACAAAGTGCGATGTCTGAAATGCATTGGCGGTGAAATCACTGTTGATTGTGTGGCCAGTACAGCTACGCTCATATGGCCAAGGAGGAGTACGAAACATTTGCAACAGTGCGCATAGCTGTCAACATGGTATTCATGGCCACTGCATGAAGGATGACACGCACAAACCGAGAGAGTACAAGCACAAGGAAACCAGTTCCATTTTCATGTGAAATCACATGAACGTTTCTGCACAGAACTCCTGTGTGACCGTGTGCAGGCCCTGGTTCAAAACAATAGTGTCCGAGCATCGCCGTTCTTTTCGCAAAAGCTGCTAGTACCGAAATTTGCTGTGTGAGAGGGAATGTGCACTAAGTAGAGCTTTACATGTGCTTGTTCATGTGTGTTTTACTGTATGTGTAAACCCGCAACACACCTGGTTCAAGTGCACATTCACGACACAGCATCATTCTTGGCTTCTGGGCAATTCATTTGCCCACCCTCCCTCACCTGTGATCTTTGAATTTTATCATTCACGTTTATTATCGTCATGGACAGTTTTGCTGCTTTCACTCATAAGAGGGATCTGGTTTGGCATTTCGTACAGCCCACTGCTCGACCCAGGGGTTCAATTTGAACTCAAGGTGCGTCAGGCCTAATTGTATTTTTGTTTGGAATCATCTCTTTAATATCTTTTATCATTTCGCTGTGCTTTATTCCTTCTACAGTTGACAGGATTTGATACTTGCTTGATCTCCAAATGCTTCGATGCTTGATGGCATCTGTCGCTACACAACCTGTGCTTAGACGCTTGGGTTTATTGAATTCTGAAACTTTTCCTTGACCCAAAAGCGTCTGGAATGTACACTTCAGATTTGTGCGTGTTGCACATCAACTGCATCACAACTACATGTCTGTATATATGCTATTGGAGCTGGAATACCGCAGGAGTAAACTAGTTTCACCCCGCCTTGGCAAAGTTCTATGAACTGATGCCACAAAACAAAAGAAAGAAAATGGTTAGGATGTCAAATGGCAATGACTGCATGGGGACGGCATTGCGTTGCCAAGGCTTGTCTTTGTCTCTTTGAGACATGCCAAATGATTCATCCTAGAAACACTCTAATTTCCTCAAGGTAAACTTCTGGGCTACCTGAGATCCATGTTATCCTGCAGAAATGTAACGCACCTTGCATCAGTACATGTACATGCCATAGCAGTCATGTTTGTCACTTGACACTGCACAAATCGAGCAGTGTAACATGGTGAGACTTTTGAGGCGCTTTCAACTCAAGGAAAATCCGCATGGTAGCGGAGCCCAAGGATCCAGATTGGCAACTCTCTGGTGAGGGCTCGAAGGTGGACTGAAACCTATCCACCAGCTGCTGAATTTGCAGCAAAGGGTTTTAGGTAGCGCCATAGTAATTCCCTTGGTGTTCTTTCTTGCAATCATTGCCTGTGAACTAACCTGGAAGTGGCTTTGCAATTTTACTGGACCATTGACTGCATTTGGGTTGACCTGGACGTGCAGATTGGACTGGTTTGATCTACAACTGCAAAGGTGTGACATCGATTGGCTTGGACCTTGATTTCTGGCATTGGGAATTTGAGCGCTTTTACAGGATTCAGTTAGCTGTTGCTGCCGTGAACATGTCTGGCACGCAAGCTACGCAGATCTTGGAAGCTGTAGCAAAAGCTGCCGAAGCAGCATCCCAAGCTGCCATAGCCTTGAAGGAGGCCAATGAACAATCGAGACAGCCGAGGACAGGTTTTTCAGAAGCCAGCAAGGTGGTGCAGTGCCCAAAGGGGTTTGGCTGTGCAACTTCAGCCGACGATCAAGCACTTTGGTCGGACTTTGCATTCTCTTTCAGACAATGGTTGTTTTTCGCAGACCCAGCGTATGAGCCTGACTTCAAGCACATAGAGGACAATCCTGGTTTGACAGTAACCTTCAATGAGACTGCAGCCGGGGAGGCGTCGAAGGAGAGATCCAGGAAGCTCTTTCTCATCCTGGGTGGAATCTTGAAACATAGGCCATTGAAGATTCTGAGGCAGGTGCAGCATCAGAATGGACTTGAGGCATGGAGGCAACTGAGTGCCTTGTACGTGCCACGCACTAAAGGCCGAAGTTTAGCCTTGCTCAATGCTGTGATGCAGTTCCCGGTGATGACCAAGGACAAGACTCTTCTGGAACAGATCCTTCTGTTGGAAAGACTGTCAGACGAGTATACCAAAAGCGCAGGTCATCAAGTTGCTCCTGACATTTTGTTGTCCACGTTGGTGCGCATTTTACCAAAAGATGTTCAACGCCACGTACAGCTGACAATGACAGAAGATGCAACATACACCCAAGTGCGTGAACAAGTTCTTGCTCATGAAAGGATTTCCTCAACATGGTCTAAAGACAGAGTGATGGCTGACATCAATGGTACAGCCCTTGGTTCAGTGACTTCCTATGCGACTGGTGATTCAGGTGTGGTTCCAATGGAGATCAACCAGGTCAAAGGGAAGTCCAAAGGAAAGGGACAGAAAGGCAAAGGAACACAGAAAGGGAAAGGAAAAGACAAAGGCAAATCGAAAGATGGTGGCAAAGGCAAGGGAAAATCCCAGCAGAGTGGCAAAGGTTATGGATCTCCCTCCAAAGGAGGTGGGAAAACACAGTCGAAAACCGCTGATGTTAACCGATGCAACTACTGTGGTGCCATGGGACACTGGAAACGAGATTGCCGCAAATTTCAGGCTGACAAAGCCAATGGTGTTGTTCGACAAGTTGAAGCTGATGGATCATCTCAACATGCAGCATCAAGCCCAAGTAGTGTTGGAACAGCACAACATTCACCCAGTTCTTCAGCATACCGTTCTTCTGGGAATGTCAACCGTGTTGCTTTCAGCGATAGCACTGTGATCATTGAGGACCTCACAGAATTCTCAAACTCAGGAACTTCTGGCCAGAACCTTGTTCGAATGTTGCAGCAGTTAGATGTCACCCACTTTGACATGTCTTGCAGTGATGATGACAATGTTTGGACGTGTTCACCAACTTTGCATGATGAGCCCAATCGTTTGCACCATGTCAGGATGATGTCTTTTGCAGGTGTTTCTTCTGCCGAGATCATTTTGGACTCAGGTGCAGATACCAGCGCACTGCCGTTGACTTACGCTGATGTTGGTGAATCATGTCAACATGAGACAGCTGGACAGGATTTCATTGATGCACAAGGTGGAAAACTTGACATACGTGACACAAGACTTGCAACTGTTGACCTTGGCAATGGAGTGATTTTGCGTGAACGTTTCATTATTGCAAACATCAGTTGTCCTTTGCTTGCACTTGGTCACATAGTTCGAGCAGGCTGGGAGATTCAGCATTTCAGTGATGGAGTTTTTCTTGTGAAGAACGGCAAGTTTGTCAACGTGAGCTTCAAGCGCAACTCACTTTGTGTGAAAGGTTCCATTCGAATGATTTCTGAGGATGACTGTTTGAGTCCAACTTCAACAGCTCCAGGACCAAAGGCCTTGAGAGCAATCCATTTGCAGCCAGTGTTGAGACGTTTGCTCCCTGGATGGAACAAAGTGAATCCACAGGTCTATGCATTGACCACTCGACGTGCAAGGTTTGTGGATGCTACACTTTGCCCTGGAGGTGAGATGATGTGGTACAGAACAACGTTGGTGTTTCGAGATGCTCAAGGTTGGGAGTTGCTTGAATTTGGAGAACCTATCTCAGAATTGGAAGACTTGGAAGGTGAAATTTACGACCCAGAATCTGTTGTAGAAGTTCTCACACTTGCGCATGCTCACAACGTTGCATCAGAACAGCTTGGTTTTGCCTTGGTAGATGGAGAACAGGCACCCCATTTTGACGCAGACGTCTTGGTTGGAGAACCTGGTGATGGTGACACAGGTGAACAGGAACATGCCCCACAACCTGTGCAAGAGGTCCCAGCTGAATTGCCTGATGCAGAGCCGTTAGATGAGGAACGCGTTGTGCCATTTGCAGATGAGAGTACAGTGACAGTTGATGGAGTGGTGCTCAGTTGTGACAACACTTTGAAAGCTCTTCGAGCTGGATGTGAAGTTTTGGGTTTGTCAAAGCGTGGTTCCAAAAAGGAATGTATGCATCGCATGTTGGAGTTTGTGAAGACTCGTGAGCTCATGGAAGCCCATGCAGTGGAGGCTACCCTCAAAAAGGATTCAGAACGTGTTGCAATCCCTCAGAAGAAACCTGTTGAGCCCACGGAGTCCATGAAACAAGCCCACAACTTGGTGCATGAGCCTTATGAAACATGGTGTCCTTTGTGTGTTGCTCACCGCGCAAAGCAAGATGGTCACAAGAGACAGACTCATGAAACAACTGACCATAGTGTTGTGTCATTTGATTTCTTTTACTGCTCTCGAATGCGTGATGAGTCAGACAAGTTGACAGTGCTGATTGTGACTGACCGTGATACTGGAATGTGCATTGCCCTGCCAACACAACAGAAGGGTGGCAGAAGCCTCAGTTACCTTGTCACTGAGATGTGCCGCTTCATTGTGCACTGTGGTCACACCGAAATTGGTTTGCGTTGTGATTCAGAACCATCAACTCTTTCTTTGCTTGAAGCAGTTCGAAAAGCATGTGCAACGTTGAGGATCACAGCCCATGCTGAACCTGCTCCAACAGGAGACCACAGGGCAAACGGCGCAGCAGAGGCAATGGTGGAGGTGATCAGAGCCAAAGCCAACTTGCTGGTATCTCAGATTGAATGGGATACTGGATGCAAAGAGCCAATTTTTGGATGTCGTCACCCGGTTTATACATGGGCCATTGTTCATTCGTCTTGGTTGCACAACCATTTCACAGTGAAGAGTGCTACAACTGCATATGAACGTGCTTGTGGACGATTTTACAGTGGAAAGATGGCGATGTTTGGAGAGGTAGTCATGGGATTCTTGCGTACCAGTCAAAAAGGTTTACCTCAATGGACACGTGGTGTGTGGCTCAGCAAAGCCATTTCAAATGACTCTCACATCATTGGAACTCCAAACGGAATCTTTCTTACACGCAGCATCAGAAGATTGCCAACTTCCTTTGATTTGGAGTTGCTTGGAGAACTTACAGCTTCACCTTGGAATTATGGATGTGCAAGTTTGGGGCACAGACTTGTCCATGCAAAACGCGTTGTTCCACCACCTGCAGTTGCGTTTGACAACAGCCTTCGACTGCCAGACAGAGATGCAAAGGATGTTCAAGAGTATGCCAGAGCACACCCTTTTGAGGATGTTGACGAAACTGCAATCTCTGCCGAGGCGGGGCTTCTTGGTCAAGCTCAACAGCCGCAAGATGGTGAACAAGATCCCATCTTCAACGATGAAGGCTTGGAGGAGGCCATTGCAGCAGCAAAGCGTGACTCAAAGGCCCAATCTATGAATGTGGATGTACCTCAGACCCCCGTCTATGGTGAAACTTCCTCACAATCCACTGGCAAACACGACACACAACATGAAGTGACTGGTGGTGATCCAAAACGTTTTCATGCAACAGCAGTGGAAGCTTCTTCAGCTCATGGAGATGTTGTTCCACAAACGCCACAGTCAGAAGCAGCAATTGAAGTTTTGGATGATGCTTCTTTTGAAAGCATGCAGCCTGTCAGCAAAGCTGCCAAGCGCGATGACACTGGACATCTTGGACTTTTGGGGCAGATTTTGAAGATTGAGCACCTTGACATTGAACCTGATGTCAACCTTGAGATTGATGAAGTTGACACGATGATTCAGCATGAATTGAATCTCAACGAGGATCCCTATGAGACCATGGATGATGAGGGACCCAACTTAGATGAGCTCAGTTTTCCATACAGCCCTCAAGAGCCTGAACTCAGTGCAGATGAGCTTCAGCGTTTGGACAGCATTGCAGATCAAGTGGAGGTCGAAAGGCTATCTGGTCTTCAAGTCTTGCAGGAGGACAATTTGCCTCACGATGCCAAGAGCTTGAGCACACGCTTTGTGCGCACCTGGAGAGAAAAGAAGGACAAGGAAGGCAATGCTATCTGGTTACGTCGTAGTCGTTTGGTTGCAAGGGAGTACACATGGTTGCAGCCTGACAGAGAAGCACTTTTCTCACCGGCTACTTCGAACATTGCCAGCCGCATCTTGCCCATTTGCTTTTTGGCCCTGCGAGAGCATCAAGACACGATGATGTTGGCCATTGACGTCAAAGACGCTTTCTTGACAGTGAGGCAGGAACAGCCAACACGTGTACGTTGCACAGATGCCTCAGGGAAAAGCGTTTCATACAGCTTAGGTCGAGTTCTTCCGGGTCAGCGTGATGGCAGCCTTTTGTGGCATCGAGATTTGGTCAAGTTTGTTGGTGAAAGCACCCTTGGAATGGAGGAATTTGAAGTTTATCCATCCATCTTACGTTCCAAACTTGGTGATTGCTTGCTGATGATTCACGTGGATGACCTCTTGGTGGTTGGGTCACGCAAAGCAGTGACAGAACAGCTGATCCCACACATGCAATCAAGGTATGAAGTTTCCATCGAGATCATGTCCAATGTTGGCGACGAGTTGACGTTTCTAAAGCGCACCCACCAGCTTTTAGAATCTGGACGCATGGTGGTGAAGATCCATGGAAAGCACCTGGACCAACTTTGCAAGTTGTTGCAACTTTCAAAGCGTTTGCAGAACAAGAAATCGCCTGGACATTCAGAGATTGAGATCCCTGACAAGACAGAAGAGCTGAGCGCTCATGATGGATCAATTTACCGTTCATGCGTGGGGATTTTGCTTTATCTTTCACCTGACCTTCCACAATGTCAGTATGTGATTAGATATCTTTCGACGTTCTCATCGAAGCCAACACAGAAAACGATGGTTGTGCTGAAGCACCTGGTTGGATATCTGGCTGGTCATGCAGACCAACATGTTTCTCTCAGATGGAAGGGTATCCATTCTGGACTCATCAAAGACTATGAGTGTGAGGAACCAGTGCTGGAAGTGTTCAGTGATGCAGATTGGGCATCAGACCGTGACACTCGACGATCAGTGTCAGGATCTGCTATCTTCTTTGGAGGTTGCTTGGTCTACTCCTCCAGTCGAACACAGAAGATTGTGTCACTTTCCAGCGCAGAGTCAGAAACGTATGCAGCAGCCAGCGCAGTGATGGATGCAATTCTCATCAGAGCCATCATTTCATGGGTACTTCAGTCAACCATTCTCATGTGTTTGTACATCGATTCGTCAGCAGCACGTGGAATTCTATCAAGACGTGGAGTTGGTCGTTTGCGACATCTCAGTTGTCGAGTCCTTTGGCTTCAAAACTTAGTTGGTGAAAAACTGTTGATGGTTAAAGCAGTCTTAGGAGCAATCAATCCATCTGATATAGCCACGAAAAGACTCAGCATCAGCAGATTGGAATCATTGTTGTATTTGTTTGGTATCTGGGACAGTGCAAACAACAACCTTGTGGGACAACATGACCCAGGTCGAATTTTCAGAAATGTTCCTCAACCTCAACAGAACAGCGCTTCCAGATATCAGATCAACATGTTGATCGGCGCCTTGAGCTTACTTCTTCAGGGTTGCGACTCGGACGTGCCAACTAGAGCCATGGACTACAATTTTCAAGGGTTGACCATGGAGGCAACCATCGTGACAAGCTGGATCACCTTGTTGACCTTGTACATGGTGTTCCTGTGGATGCGCAATGATCAACCTGTGCGTAACGAAGTTTTGGCCAGCGATGATGATTTGACTTCTGTGGAAATGTCCTGCAGTGAGGCCGAGACTGAATCTAGCAATGATGGTCTTCCAGACTTTCCTGCATTCAGTCCTGAAGCTTTGATTTCATGGATGTTTGAAAGATGCTTTCGCAGACGTGAAGACTCCATTTGCAGTGGAAACAACAGCAGAGCATTGGCCTACACACAACGCATGACGCTGTTGGTGGATCTATTTGATCATGTGATGGGCTCTGACGATGACACCAGGCAGCAGGCAACAGATATGCTGAATGTAGTGTCTGACATCTCTTCAGATGAATGGAGTCCTACGCACGCAGTGGATGAACCAAAAGAATCAAGAAAGAGGAGATTGGTGACAGCGCGCAATGCTATGATCGCATTGCAAGGATCTATTACTATGGGCCTTGGAGGATGCTTGGGAGTTGACACAAGTGAAGCTGCTCAGAAAGATGATGGAAGTAATCCATTTGCATTTCTGGTTTTGACCGTGTGGACGATGTTGCTCGCAGCATATACATGGTGGATGTTGCGTAGCCCACATCCTCGTCCAGCACTAGTGACACTTCCTACACCAACTGAACTTGCAGTTGGACCAATGGTTACTCATGACACCAATGTACTGGAAGGGTTGCTGACGTGGACGTATGCCCGTGTCTTGGGCAGGCTTGACAGAGCCAACAGGGACAGCAACTTCGGAAGAATCAGAAAATACACTGAATCACGAAATTGGCTCCAGAAACGCTTTGTAGATCTGGTACATGGCACTCCAGCCCAATGTGAGAGGATCCAACTTGCTCTCACGGGAGACAATGAGTTGGAGGAAGAAGATGACTCTCCGACATATGGCTATGGAGTGGTGGAGCGTGAGCTGCTTGCCGCAACTCATGGACAGATCTTCCACTTGGTGGTGAAACTTCTCGAACTGGAAAGATTTGAGAATGTGTTGGACTTGGTGCGTGGGATTGGGACTTCACTCAGAGAACCGCCCAATCCACCGAGCCCAGCAACCACATCAGATGAGGCCATGACAGAAACAGAGGAGGAGAGAGTCCAAAGGTACCAGAACGCAGAACAATGCGAGGTGTCAGACCCAGATCTCTGGGCCACAATCCATTATGGACCAGCAGATGGAGATGACAATGGAGACGATGCAACCGGAAGCAGAGATGACCTGATGGAATTCTGAAGGGATTCTGAGCGGGACTAGACAGCACCACAGAAGTGGTTCCACAAGCGGTTAGGATAAAAGCCGTCTGTGGGATCCAGTGCGCAGATTTTTTTTAGCGCAGAAAACCCCAATAGAAGCGAAACGATGGACTATCCACAGTCCTAAGGGGTGAGACTAGGAATGTACAGACTAGTATTGAAAATACAGTCTGAGGCGGGGTGCAGAAATGTAACGCACCTTGCATCAGTACATGTACATGCCATAGCAGTCATGTTTGTCACTTGACACTGCACAAATCGAGCAGTGTAACATGGTGAGACTTTTGAGGCGCTTTCAACTCAAGCAAAATCCGCATATCCTCAGGCCTGCCCTTTCACTTGAGCGCAATGCCAGCAACTGTCTGGCTGGCTTTGCACGTATGTGCAAGGAGTATTCTGTTTTGATTCAAGGGTCCTCCTCATCAGTGAACTCGCCATAGTGGAGACTTGCCCATAGGTCAGGATCAGACACTTCGTCCTGAGTACTTTGGTAGTACCTTCTTCGAGCCTCTGATGCCGTTTCCATTTCGGCGTCAGATTCACGTTCTTCTTCACTTTCTTCACCAAAAGATTCATTTCTGATAAGGGCGTCTGCCACCATGTTTGTATGTCGACCTCTTGCAGTTTGACCACGCAGCATCATAAAGAAATTGTGGGCGAGCTGCGCGTCTCCCAAAGATGTGGGCCGATTGCCACGAAAATTCGGGGAATCTTCGTCTTCACTGATGTCTGCCATCTCAGCCATGTTGCGCATCGCAGATGCTCTGAAAAGTGGATTGGTCAGAGCACTTTGAAGACTGCGGAGAATTGCAATGCGTTCCAAATACTGGTTCCTTTTTCCAATCTCCAAATTTGGATTTTCAAGGCGTCGATGGCATCTGATGATCAGCCAGTTCAGAAAGCCTTCTGGTGTTGGCATGTCACTTGAACTCCTCGGGATTGCAAATGACAATTGGTGTTCAGCATCATCAGGAATGGAACTGGTTAAAGCTGTTGCTTCTCCAGTCGCTTCCTCATCAACTTCTTCATTCAAAACTGGTTCTCCAACGGAATCATAAGTTGCTACTTCAGGCTCTGGTTGTTCCTGAAGAGCTTCATGCTGTGGCACGTTCTGCAAGGTCATGCAAAACATCATGAAGAGGAAACCAAACAAAACTGTAAAGACCACGACAGCGGCTGGAGGTGCTGTGGGTTCAAACACATCGCATCCTTTCAACTGACCAAGGCCCAAGACGCTTAAGAGTGCTAGGATATGCTGCTTTTTGTTGAAGAAATTGCTGGAATCAGCTGTTCCCTCAAGTTCCTTTGCAGTTGTGTTGTACATGCCCGACGTATGCATCAGTGTTCTCAAACGATTGCATGGATGCCGCTTCGTCCCAATGTCAGCTGGGTTCAAAGATCCTGCAATGCTGGATAACTTGATTTGTCCAGCAGCCACCAAATCTTGAAGCCATAGGACACGGCAAGAAAGGTGTCTGACTCTCCCCACTCCCTGGCGCTGTATCATGCCTCTTGCTCCAGAAGAGTCTGTGTACAGGTAGGTTGTCACCTTGCAGTCAGTCATCCATGCAATGAGACGAGACAGTAAAACACTGTCTGAAACTCCAGATGAGCACGCGTACAATTCTGCTTCTGCAGAGGATAAGGAAACAAGCTTCTGTGTTCTGCTTGCAGAGTAAAGCATCATGCCTGACCAGAAAATCACAACGCAGGAAACTGATCTTCGCTTGTCCTTGTCAGAAGCCCAATCACTGTCTGTGTAGACTTCCATTGCTGATTCACCAGGTGGAAGATCATATTGATGGAAAATCCCATCACTCCTGCCTTTGGACTTCAAAGAAATGCAAACGTCTTCGTGAGCAGCCAGGTATCCAACCAAATGTTTCAACACCAGCATGCTGCGCACTGTTGGTTGTGTGCTGTAGGTGGCCAAATGCCTCACCACATGCTGACACTGCGGCAAATCGGCCGCAAGGTAAAGCAACACCCCAACACATGTCCTGAATGCTTTGGCGTCTTGAGGACTGATTTCACCTGACAGGTCACATTGGTCCATTTCTGCATGACCTGGTGACTTCTTTCGTTGCAAAGCTTTGTTCAAACCCAAAACATCGCACATTTGCTGCACATGCTTATGGTGAGTCTGGATGAGCAAGCGTGAGTCAGAAAGAAGCGTCATCCTCCTCTTCAGAAAATGCAGCTCATCTCCAGGCTTTGCAATCACCTGCGTGGAAATCTCATACTTGTTTTCAAGACATGGAACAAACTTGTTGAGCACATAGTCACGCTGACCAACCACCAAAATGTCGTCCACATGAATCAAAACATAACAAGCATTGTCTGCAGTCTTGAGCACGCATGGATATGGAGCATGGGTGAACATACCAAGTTGCTGCTTGAGAAGGTTTGTCAAATCCTGATGCCATAGCAGGCTTCCATCCCTCTGACCTGGCAGTACCTTTCCCAGTCCATAACTCAAGGTTTGTCCATCTGCAAGTTGACAATTGACAATGGTTGGTCGCTGTTGCCTGACTGTCAAAAACGCGTCCTTCACATCGATGCTCAACATTATGCTATTGCTGTGCTGCTTCATGTCCAAGTACATGGCTGGCAAAACTCTTGCTGCTATGCTGCTGCTAGCTGGAGAAAACAATGAATCTCGTTCACTTTCCATCCATGCAAACTCTCTTGCAACAAAACGTGATCTCCTCAGCCAGATGGGCTTGTTGTCTTTGCCCAATTTCTCTCGCCATGTACGCACAAACCTCGTTGAAAGAACCTTTGCATCTGTCGGCATGGAACTGGCATCTGTTAACACCTCCATCTTGCTCAGGCGTTTCAACTCCAAAGCATCTGCTATGGTGTCCAGGCGCAACAGCTCTGTCTCTGACAAACAAGGTTCATGCGCACTGAAAGGAAAAGTAAGCTCTTGCAGGGCTGCGTCATCATCTGCTTCCACACCTGCATAGTAATCCTCATCATCAAAGTTCATGTCATACTTTTCCAATTCATCGAGATCATCTTGTTGAAAAGAGAAGGTAACTGGGTTGTCTTCATGCTCGTACAAGGACAGGTCTGTGCTTGTCACCTGGTTCACTTGCTTCTTGGAATCATCTGAAAACTTTGGTGTCTTTGGCACATGCTGGGGCTCTGTATCATCCAACAAAAACGTTGACTCAAGCAAAGAAAAAGCTGAATCAGCAAATTTGGCACGTTTGGGAGATGCTTCTTGTTCAGCGTTTTCTTCCTGCCGTTTCTGTCCATGTGCATCAGGGCCCAACACATCGTCCATGGAACTTGTTGCAACACCGCCAGAAGAAGGAGGCATGTCGGGCTGAGAAGATTGCCCCGCCTCAGCTACATCCTTTGAATCCTCCAAATCCTCGTGGGGATGAGCTCTGGCATAGTTTTCAACATGCAAAGCTTCCAAATCAAGCTGTGGTGGAAGGGCTGGTCCAATTCCCAGGGCAATCGGCTGTGACACTCTCTTGTTGTGAACCAGTTTGTTGCCAAGTGCCACCAAACCGTATTCCCAGGGATATGTTTCCACATCTCCACATCTGTCCAAATTGAACGGGATAGTATTGCGTCTGATGCTTCTTGTCAAGAAAACGCCATCTTTGGTGCCAACCACATGACTGTCTCCTGAAGGCACTTTGCCAAGCCAAATGCCATGCTGCCACCTGGGACCTCCCTTGTCAACTCGAAGGTAACCCAAAACATCCTCAGCAAACATGGCAATCTTCCCGGTGTAGCTACGG